AAAAAAAAAAAAAGAAATTAATCCGCAAGAATCCGCAAGGTCGCGTATTAATTATCGAGACACTGAACTCCTCGGGTAATGAGTGTATATTACGTACTGCTATGTCTTATATTTATAATAATTTCAATATTTGGAATGCTTTTATTTTAATATTTTTTTTATTATTATCGTTTCATTAAATGGAGATACGAAAAAAAAAAATTCTACGTTCCGTTGCATTACTCGTCAAATTTCGGAAATTGAATCATCGATACTCGTTGTACCTCGTTGTAGCATCTCCAAACATGGCGATGATGAGATCATTTGTGGGCGTGTAATATTTAAAATTTTAATCCATCATTGATTACAAAGTTGAAGAGAGAAAGAAAAATATCGGTAGAATTACAACGAAGTTGAAGTTGAAACAAAAAGATTGTTTACATTTTGAACGACGACGAAGCCGAAGAAATTTTTATTAAAATCGCCTTTGTCGATTAAGCAGCTGCTCGTTCATCCGTTTTTGCGGTCAATATATGCTTCCTCGCGTTTCACAGCATTTCGCTCTTTGCAATGTAGCATGAAATCAGTGCATGCGTGAAGAATAGACGAACGGTATCCGTGCAATAAGTATAATTCACAAAGTGTATTTTATACAGTCAGGAACTGTACGACTGCAACAAATCCGTTATTGTTTAATAAAAGAAAACCTCATTTAATCGAAATTAATTTTTCTTCTTTTTAAAGAAAACGGGCACGCTAGAAGATGGACGGCAGAGGCGGAGGAATTTTCGTGATCTCGAGAGGGAAAACAATCGTTTTTTTTTTTTTCCACATCATAATTGGATCGTACGGTCGTCACGTGTCTACGATCGGTGAGTTGCACGTTTTAATTTATTCGGCGGTGATGGTTCGTTTCTCGATGCTTGAAATATTATCAATCCGTGTACATTACGTTTCAGTAATTAATATTTATCGGTGATTGATCACCGTGTTTATATTTCGATTTCGACACGACAAAACGAAGTTACGTTTCGCAAGATGTGAAAAATGATAAATTAATTCGATACTTCGAAGCGATCATTCCTCACCTTTATTCCCAATCAAATTTGCCAACCAAGTATGCGTTTCTTCCAACTATCTCGCGCGATGATTAATATCTAATATCTACTTAAAAAAAAAAAAATATTAGAAGTTGAATCTTATTTCTCTATACCTCTCCGACCGTCTACTCGCTTCTTACTTATTACGATTCTGTAACACCCTGTACACGCGATGATTAATGTCGATAGCTTGCAGAGAGCGTGCCTCGTTCCGGTTATAAAGGTCGACGTTTCACGATCGCGCGTAACTAAAAATATCATTTCGACAAATAACGTGCATACAAGCGTTTCGATTACATCATTTTAAAGCAGCGTTAACGTAAGTGGCGTGCACGACATCGGATATCCGTCGATCGTTCTGCGTTCAAACGAGCGTGTTTAAAGCATCGTCGAAAGAAAAAAAGAAAAAAAAGAAAAAAAATAATATTTTTACCTTGATCCTTCTCGCGCGTTAGATCGGGAATAGAGACGAGGGAAGAGAATTTTCTCGTTCTCCTTGGACAGGCTTCCTTCTCTCGGAGCGATGGCTCCAGTCCACTGACCGAGACTCGGATGCCGTGCTATAAAGCCGAAGAAAAAGTCGCGATCGTAAACTTGGCTCGCTTCCGCACCTCGCGATAGTTCCGTGGCTGCCGATTGCCGATTGCTTTTCGTGGAAGGTCGCGCCAATCCCTGGAAACGCTCGAAAGGATTCGTTGAATTCCCGCCGGTGAAACTCGTCCAGGACAGGAATTTAACGTCGGCGTCGTTTCGCGACGACCATCGATCTCCGTCTCCTTTTCCAATTTCCTCTTTCGATTCGTGAACCCGATACGCGAATTATAGAGATATTTGCGAGAGATCGAGGTTCGATATTCGACGACGAATATATATAATAAGAAGGAACGTGTGTAATGAGCCACACTCGATTATCGAGAAGAGAGAGAGACAGAGAGAGAGGCGTCCTCGTGGCGGAGATAAAGACGAGCTTAGGATGGAAAATATGGCCATGATATTTACTAACGCGGCCTCCGCGTGAAAGTGCTCGATGCTTCGCTTTGTACCGCGGCCGAGGAACGCGTATACGGTCTCGTGTAACGGGTGACATGACCGAACCTTTCGAAGAAAAACAAGATCATGCTCGGTCCGGATTGGAAATGCCGCGTTTCCACCAGAGATTTACAACAGCCTCGAACAGGCACGGTATCGGGTAATTGGTATTAATTTATTCTTCAAGGATCCTTAAGGCTGAGCTCGGTCTGGGATCATGGGTGATCGAGAACGTGTCGTCGAAAAAATGGAACGAATCGAGTTACGAGAGATTCGCGTGCGATGGAATTCGACCTAAATAAGAGTTTGTGGAGGAGCGCTGACTCTCTCCCCTTACAGCTGCCGCTTCATTCTCCGAGTGTACGCGTTCTTTTTCCTTGAATTGTTGCTGGAGACATTTTTTTTCTTTTCTTTTTTTTCTTTTTTTTTTTTAATCTTTAGAAGGAGAAAAATTGGAAGGAAGTCAAAATACGTTTAAATACGTTAGAAAAAACGTCGTTTCCGCGTTTTCTACATGCAAATCACGGTTCACGGTTTGTTAGAGAAAGGTAACGAATGAAAATATAGAATATATTACGAATGAAAAATAGAATATATATATATATATATATTCTATAAATAGTAAGTGTCGATGTTTTTTTTTCTGCGTGCGCACAATGCGCACCGACAGTTTTTTCACCTTTCCTTGGAAAACTTGCGATTTTATGTATCTGTAAGATCTGTTTCACATTCGTTGCGGATAATCAATCCGTCTGCTGTATTCTCTATTTCTCTTTTTTTTTTCCCGCGCGTAATTGAATGGCTCGGTGAACCAAGCGTAACATTGGTCTTGGTTCAACTATATGATTGTTGCCTAAAAACTAGCTTTATTCAGTGAAAGTCAATTT